AAGACATCCCTGAGGCACATCATAATTAACTTCACTAGAGTTAAAATGAAGGAGAAAATTCTGCAAGCAGCCAGATGCAAGAAAACCATAACCTACAAAGGGAAGAATATTAGAATGACTGCAGAACTTTCTGCTGAAATATTTCAAGCTGGAAGAGGGTGGTCATTGACTTTTAATCTCCTAAAACAAAATAGCTTTAAACCCAGGATCCTGCATCAAGCTTAATTTACACTGAAGAAACTAAATAATTTAATGACATTCACATGTTGAAGAAATTTGCCGTAACTAAACTAGCTCTAACCTATCCTCCATGATGACCAGCTCAATCTTCCACATCAACTCACTCAGAACCTTTTGATCAAATTCCAACTTCCACAGAGGTGAATGGATTAAAAATATCTACTAGACTTTCAAAAAATTCAATACCCCAAATTCTACCAGACTTATCAATATTCTCAATTATTGTGAATGTCTTAAATTGTCCTCTAAAGAGGCACAGGTAGGCTGACTGGATATAAAAACTAAGGCAAGATATCTCCTGCATATAAGAATCTCATCTTACCTTAAAAGATAAATATAGACTCAGGGTGAAGGGATGGTCATCTATATTTCAGGCAAATGGAAACCAGAAAAAAGCAGGGGTTGCAATTTTATTTGCAGAGACAATAGGCTTTAAACCAACAAAACTAGGAAAGATAAGGATGGTCAGTTCATATTTGTTAAGAGTAATACTCAACATGATGAGATTTCAATTATTAACATTTATGAACCCAACCAGAATGTGCCTCAGACATGAGTAACATGATTTCCTCCAGCTCCATAACAGTCGGAGATTTTAACACTCCTTTGGCAGTCTTGGATAGATCCTCCAATAAGAAGGTAATCAAAGTAATTCCAGATGTAAACTTAACCATTCAACATCTGGATTTAACAGATATCTACAAAACATTTCACCCTAACAAAACTGAATACACATTCTTCTCATCAGCCCACAGAACATACACCAAAATTGATCAAATCTTAGGTCATAAGTCTAACCTCGGCGAATTTAAAAGAAGAGAAATTATTACTTGTACTTCTCAGACCATCATGGAATAAAAGTTGAACTTAGTAACAATAGGAATTTGCATACTCATACAAAAACATAGAAGCTAAATAACATTTTGCTAAATGATAGCTGGGTCAGAAAGGAGATTAAGAAGGAAATTACCAAACTTTTGGAACAAAATGATAACGGAGACGCAAATTATCAGAACCTTTGGGATACCTCAAAAGCAGTCCTAAGAGGCAAATTTATATCACTGCAAGCCTTCCTCAAGTGAACGGAAAGAGAAGAAGTTAACAACTTAATGGGACATCTCAAGTAACTGGAAAAGGAAGAACTTTCCAATCCCAAATCCAGCAGAGGAAAAGAAATAACCAAAGTTAGAGCAGAATTAAATGAAACTTAAAACAAAAGGATTTACAACACATCAATAAATCAAAATGTTGGCTTTTTGAAAAGGTCAATAAAATAGTTAAACCTTTGGCTAACTTAACCAGGAAAAAAAAAAAAGAGTAAAATCTCTAATTTCATCAATCACAAATGGTAAAGACAAAATAACAACAGACTCCTCAGAAATAGAAAAAATTGTTAATAAATATTATAAGAAACTTTATTCTCAGAAATATGAAAATCTGAAGGAAATTGACCAATACATGGAAGCAAGCCACTTTCAAAGACTTAGCCAGAATGAAGTGGAAATTTTGAACAGGCCTATATTAAGTTCTGAAATAGCATCAACTATACAAAATTTCCATAAAAAGAAAAGCCCAGGACCAGCCAGCTTAACATCAGAATTCTACCAAAACTTTAAAGAGGAACTAGTACCTACATTACTTAACCTTTTCCAAAATATATAAAAAGACAGAATACTACCCAACACATTCTATGAAGCAAACATCACCTTGATCCCCAAACCAGGGAGAGACAACAGGAAAAGAAAATTATAGACCAAT